TGGACGGTGTAGATAATATGTTGTAAAATGCACTATTTTTAGACTTAAAATCTTTTTATTTTTCATAATCATACATCTCGATGTCGAGATAATCAATCAAAGGGTTTTTCAACATTAAACTACCTTTTCCAATGGATTTTTGAAGTGCATCCGTAGTTCCACATTATAAGGTTGCATCCTTATATAAGCTTTTTCTTTTATCAATATATATTTGTATTATATATAATATAATAAATTATTTTATTAATAGTTTTTTTGTATTATATAATATATATAAAATAAAATAAAATAATATACTGCAAATACAAATATAAATTAACAATATAAATATAAGGAGGGAGGTTTAATAAGGTTTGAGGAATCAAGTTCCTATTTTAAGTTCGATCAGTTTAATGAAACTTTTTTTCTTAAGCACAGGGGAATAAGGAAGTTCTAGGAGGGATTTCTTTATTGAATAAATTCCGTATATCAAACACAAAACTTGTACAGTAATGGAGAAGTTCTTTCTTCCTTATCCTAACTTTCTGTTATCAAACATGCGCTTAAAGAGGGATAATACGGAACAACGCAACTTTGTTGAGGAAGTTCCAATATTGGAAGAAAAAGGAAAAATATTATATATAACACGTCAACCTTATTCTGACGAGCAAGGTGCACCTAAAAAATCCATTTGAGAAGGTTGTTCCTATGCTGGAAAACCCTAAAATCGGTCATCTTGACCTTGAGATTTTTAGACAAAAAATGGTGATTTCTAATCCTAAAAATAGTTCATCTCTTAATGCGTTATCTATACCATCCATTTTCATGATTTACAAGAGTGTATAGATTTGATTGATCATCACCATTTCATAATTGGGGGCAACAATTCATTTTCATATCATCGCAAGGCTTTGCGGCATTGAAACTGCATTTTGAATATAGTTTTTAGGTGTACCTTACTTCAATTAATTTTCATATCATCACAAGGCTTTGCGGCATTGATACTGCATTTTCGATATAGTTTTGAGGTGCACCTTGCTTCAATAGGACAAGGTTGACACCTTATACAAACCTCACCCTACAAAAACTATAAGTGGGAAAATATCTTTTGCTTGTTTTATTAATTTTGTAAGATGATATGATCCATTTTAGAAATGGATGTGGTTTATATAAAGCCTAGGCTTTATGGAAAACAAAATAATGCCTCACCTCAAATCCTCGTCCAGAAAGCACTTTCAGCAGCAGAAATCTCCATGATGGTTTTAAAATCAATTTTCAATAATGACAATAGAATGCGAAACTCACAAAATGATATAAGATCTTGTGGATTGATAAGCAATTATTTTTAGAGTAAAATGGAGAATCTAGATTGTTTGTTACATTATACTATTTTTAAAACATGAAATCATTTTTTATTTTACTATCATAATGTTCAAGCGAAGATGAACAATGTAAAAGTTTTCTACTAGTGAGATTGCAATTTTCCATGAGTCATGAGGAGAGGCTTTACTAATTTGATAGGCCCGCAGCCCTATCTAACCAATTTCCTTTAAAGATATAGTAGAATAGTGCACACCTATTCCAAACCCTAGATTCGATCAATGGCATGGTATTTGGGTGTAAGAATTTGAGCACGCGTCGGATCCTTGGTCATAATCGAAGATCGAAACTGTTCCTGAGTGGCTAGAGTGCTAAGGCACGAGGGTCACATAATGGACCACTGTCATATGGATAAAGATTAATTGGGCTGTCAAATCATCAAATGTTTAATCCGTCGCTGTATACGATGTATTAAACTTTTACAATTTAACTTGGATGGCTTATTGGGCTAGGGAACACTAGATTGGAGGTTTGGGCATAAACTTCCAACATTTTTTTTTTTTGTTTTTGGCTTTCTATCCTGATTTGTCTAGATTGTCGGATGGAGATATGTGGGTAACTCACCACACTGA